GTGATGTATGATTGATGGATGATTGCTCTGATTGACAGGGGATCACTCGAGTGTTTCCAGGGCCAGGCAGCAGTATAGAGTACAGTGGGAGGGGTCTGGTGGTGTTTCCTCCCTCTGGAACTGTCTCGTTCTCTGTGGTGCCTCCTCGCGACTATCGCTACCAGATCATCCTCAGACTCCAGGTAGAGAGAGAATAATGTGTAACATCTGAATAAGGGACATGTTTCGAACATTTGCAAGTGCCCCCCTTTATTCAGAGGTGTCCTATTATTCTGAGGTAGTATGAAACACTAATGTATCAGTATGAGGGAGATCATCATAGATGGGGTGTTCTTTAGGTTCTTTTTCACTGTATATATTGCTTGCTGCCCAGTGAGACAGAGGAACAGCACTAATATTATACTTGCCTCTTAAAGTTTGTGCTTGTTAAAATCTGCCACATATACTCTTTTTAGTTCCACACATACGGAATATACATAAATAGAGCTTTAAAACTGAGATGGATATTCTTCTTGTGTGTTATGACGGATTATATACACTACTTTCACTGTATTTTTCTCCACCCAGTTTCCTTCACCGGTGGATCCTATATCGCTGGAGGGTGTGAACCTATTCGTTGAGAGTCAGTCTCCAGTCACTAGGGACCTCAGCTGTACCCAAACCTCTCCAACCCCCACCAGTACCTTCCTCCTCCCTGGCTCTCCTCACCCCACCTACCATCATGTAGTGGTGGACTCTCTCTGTTTTGAGGCTGGAGTCGGCTACACTGTGACAGTCCAGCATCTTGACGTACACAACTCTCCTTGGATGCTTGACTCGGTGAGGGAGCTACAACTTCAACTAGCCAATCCTATTGGCGATAGGCTCTGAGAAAAAACAACTCTTATTACTCACATGCACAGTTACACTTTTGAGCTCCACGCAGCAAACTACTTATTCATCTTTCTGTATACTATAGTACCAGTCTTCAAACTCCAACTCAATTCAATTACAGCTATACAAAATGTGCTCAATAAGAGTTGTTTTCTCAGAGCCTATCACAGAATTTATGCAGGCAATCAATGATTATCACTTCTCAATCACTGGAAGACAAATTAGGCACTCTAATACATTGCTTTTTCCCCTCCAGCTACTTCTCCTGCCAGACTTCATGTCAGAGAGTGCCTACTATGCCGAGGAGGCCGACACAAGTCTCCTGGAGGAGTGTCTGCCTTTCTCCCTGGCCCAGGCCGGTGTCAGGGAAGAGTGCAGGGACATTGCCTTTTCTCTCTCTGTCGAATTCTATGGACAAGTTTTTGGTGAGTTAGCATGTGTTAGTAATGAGGTAGCAAGCAGAGCAAACAAGTCAACTATATACACCCAGCACAACTCTTTTTTTCAAGGAGAAAAGAAGAGCTGCCCTGGGTGGGATTCGAACCCACAACGCTCTGCAGTCTTAGCGAGCGCTCTACCAACTGAGCTACCTGCAATTTTCTCTATCCACAGAGTGTAACTGTAGTGGTTCAGTGGGAGCTGAGGCTGGAGGTGCGTGTGATAGGTATGGTGGCCAGTGCTCATGTCTGGAGGGAGTCACAGGACTCTGGTGTGACGTCTGCAGGAATGGATGGTTTAACCTCACTTCAACCGGCTGCACATGTAAGAGTTGTACCTTTTCAAGAGCTCATGATGCATGTCCAAGTGTTCGGAATTTATAACACAATCTATAAGAGCTCATAATAAATATCCAGTGCAACAATGTGGAGTATACTTTATAGTTTAAGATTATTGGCCCTGCTTGAGGTTAAGAGAAAGGGGGCTTCAGTTTAGCTTCTTATTTATATGAGATTTTTCTGTTTCCCCACTACAGTGTGTGACTGTGATGCTGAAGGGTCCACTAGTTCAGTGTGTGACATACAAACGGGGCAGTGTGACTGTCAACCTAATGTGGAGAGTCTCAACTGCGACAGCTGTGTCCCGGGCCACTACGACATGTCCTCCACCGGCTGCACCAACTGTAGCTGCTCTCGGTTCTCGACCTCGTCCCAGTGCTCTGACCTCGGACAGTGCCCCTGTCTTCCTGGGGTCGGTGGCGCCACCTGCGACCGATGCCTACCTGGATACTACGACATATCCCCCACCGGATGCTCTCCCTGCAACTGTTCCATCGTCAGAGTTCATAGCTCCTCGAACGAGTGTGATGTCACCACAGGCCAGTGTCCCTGTATTGGAAACACTGTGGGTAGAGACTGTTCCCAGTGCCCCGAGGGATTCTATGAGACAAACAGCCCCGACACTGATGCCTGTCTCGAGTGTGTGTGTTCCAACAGGAGCAGAGTTTGTACGGATGGCTCGGCCAACACTCAGGCTGCTGCCCGGACATCTGACTTCACGCAGCTCTGCAGTCAGGACCCTGTGACCTGCAACGACGGCTGGGAACTGCTTACGGCACTTGGAACAACTGCAGCACCTTTTGGACCAAGGTGACTTCAGCTTAATCTCTTACTTTTGGGTTGTAGGAGAAAAGAGTTGCAATTACACCTTGCTTTAAACATTGTTGGACTGTTTTGGTAGGTCTCCCTGCAGTTTAATTCCGAAAAGCCTTACACGGCATTTTGAACAAGTAGTGCAAAGGAAGTTTGTGAAATAGAGTCTCACGCCCTATTGTTGATCCATTACTTGTCTCTTATGTATACCTGCAGTGATGCCACGGGGCTAGGCTACATCCTGCTGAGCAACGGTGACCCGAGGTTGTATGCACCGGGCAAGTTCCTTGGAGACCAGCGATCATCCTATGGTCTTGATCTCTCTCTATCTATCTCCATCTCCACTATAACTGGCCTCAAGGACACTACCTCTGTTGTGTGAGTTTTTGAGATCACAAACACACAAGTCCATGCACGCACGCACGCACCCACACGCACACACACAGAATGCCATAGACCATGGGCACTTGTAGCTAGCCTTTTGACAAAGTTACATACTGTACTGTACTGTTACCTGTACTAAGTGACTATACATACATGTTCTATGGATGTAACAGGCTGGAGTCCAGCGAGGAGACACCTCCGAGACTAGTTGGAGTGTTCCCCCCACCAACCACCCAGGAGGAACCCTCTTCCCTCAACACCATCCTCACCTTCTCTGTGAGTCTCACACACCACAGAGCCTGGCAACAGAGCTGGCACCCTAGTCACAACCTATCTGGCGATATCCCTATGTGCCACATTTCATTGTTCTCCAGATTCCCATGGTGGAGGATTACTGGCGTGTGGGCAGCTCCACTGGTCCTCCTGCAACGTTATTCCAGCTCTACTCCGTCCTCTCAAACATCACCCTCCTCAGTTTATCAGCTGAGTTCAGAGAAGTAAGACCCCATATCAATTTCTGCAGGAAACCTATACGGCACTACCAACACCTTTAAAATCTGTATAATATATATACCCTGCATGTCTCTGCACTGTTTTCTATATACAGTGACTCCTTCATGTTTTCTACAAGAGTGTGTGCTATAATCATCGATATTTTCCCGCTGCAGGATTTCATCGAGTTTGTGTACGTCCAAAGCATCCAGCTACAAACTAGGGTACCACTCGGAACCCCACCCACTGCCGACTTGGTTCTCCTGAACACTTCCTTCCCGACCGAGGAGTGCAGCTGTCCTCCACAGTACACTGGTAGCTCGTGCCAGCTGTGTGCCCGAGGCCACGCCAGACCCTCGGGGGATATCGCCGACCCCTGCGCCGAGTGTGACTGTAACAACCTCTCCCTGGACTGTGACGTGGAGACTGCAGTCTGCACAAACTGCTCCGGAAACTCAGAGGGGGACAACTGCGAAAGATGCCGGCTGGGTTATTACGGCGATCCCACCAGGGGCATCCCCTGTCTCCCCTGTCAGTGTCCCTCGTCCGAGAGGAGTTTCTCGTCCTCCTGTTTCCTGGACTTTGACCTCCAGCCCACCTGCAACAACTGTAGCTCTGGGTACTCTGGCAGGTCCTGTGAAGTGTGTGCAGATGGCTTCTTTGGCAACCCACTGGTAAGATATTATGAGTGCTCCCTGGCCTAATAGGGAATATATGGAGAAGAAGAGTTTTTTTGCTATATACCTAGCTTAACTCGTTTTGGTGCAACATCAGAAGAGCATGCTGCATTTTGTTTGACTCTGCCCGTATCATGATTTGCCCATGCAGGTTGGTCAGTGCATCACGTGTGGGTGTCACGGTAATGTGGACCCGGCGCTGGGCCCAGTCTGCGACATGACCACCGGTCGCTGTCTCAATTGTCTCAACAATACCCACGGTTTCAACTGCCAGTTCTGCCTACCAGGCTACTATGGAGACCCTCCCTCCGGCCTACCTTGCACATGTGAGGCAAACACACCTAACACTGAACCACCACGGACATGAATACATGGTCCATAAGAGCTAATAATTATGCTTAGTAATTAAAATACTCATGGTGTTCAAAGGCTTTACCACTACGACAACAGAGCAACACTAAGATCACTACAAAGCCAAGAGTTTCTTAGACTTGAAATGACTTGTGAAAAACTTACAAACTCTTGCACGTACATAAACTCATTTTTTTAAGAACGCTAGAAACTAACTAGGGCACCTGCATTTCCAAGCTAGTGTACCCTGTTGGTATAATTTGCTGCTGAAAAGGTTTAAAGAATCTGCACTCTTACACTGAACAGTGGTTCACTGCCTGACGTATATTCTGTTTCTATACATCCTGCAGCCTGCCAGTGTCACCCAAATGGCACAGAGGGCGACTGCAGTCCTGTGTTTGGGACCTGTAGATGTGCCAATGAGAATGTACTGGGGGAACTGTGTGATGAGTGTAGGGATGGCTACTGGGGTCTCTCCCAAGGCCTCTCCTGTGTCCCCTGCGACTGCTGCTCCAATGGCTCCATCAGCAACACATGTGATAAGGTAAGAGACTTATTCTCAAATCATTTTTCCTGAAAACTTTGAAAAAACGAACCCCAATCTCAAGTATGGAGAGGATGAGAATGGGCTTAGTGGGCACTATAAAGAACTACAATCCCTACATTACACATGAGTGTATAAAACCTGCTCATTAGCCTATCATGATCTCTGGTGCTGGTTGCAGGACACGGGTCGGTGTGACTGTCACGAGAACGTTGGGAGTGAGCTAGACGACAAGTGTTGTACCTGCACTCCCGGATTCTTTGACTTCACTCCTGACGGCTGCAGAGGTACGTCGTGTATATTGCAGTACAAAGAAAGCTCACACATTCACACTGCTTGCTCCATCTGATCCACACTGTTTCCCTTCTGCTGATCCACAGAGTGTGGTTGCAGTGCACTGTCAGAGTCTGTGGAGTGTGACATTGTCTCTGGCCAGTGTCAGTGTCAGGAGGGAGCCATTGGCCTCAAGTGTGACGACTGCGCTTTTGGATTCACTGGTACATAATACTGTCGTTCGAAAAAGGAGCCTCCAAATAAAGGGAACCTTGCCATTAGGGACACTTGTTGGACTGCATAAAAGACACACTTTGAAAGTCCAAAGGTGTCCCTTATTCACGTCTGTACACCCAATGTGACTGACCATGCTTTAATGCTGCTTACTGATAGTAACACATTGGTGACTACATGCACTAGGGCTGAAAGGTAGACTAAACACCATTATACGTACTACTAGCCATTACCTATTACTCCACACCTAATCCCCATTATCAGTTGCCTGTTTCATATCTCACGATAAACCTCACAGGGACAGTTCCCGACTGCACCGAGTGCCACCCGTGTTTCACCCAGTGGTACCACAGGATCCAGGACCTCTCCGACATGGTCACCGTCCTCCAGAGACGAGCCCATTTTCTGGTGGACGAGTACTACAATGGCTACACGGTGGAGAGCATACAGGCTGACGTACAGGGTCTCATTGAGGAGCTAGCCAGCACCAACTCGTCTCTACAGACCATCACTCTGAATGCCAGCAGTGTACAAGAACTGCAGGACACACTCCAAGAGGTATAATAATATATAAATGCTGTGCTCCATATAACAAAACATAAAATTTGTGGGAGCTAAAGCCTGCTATTTACAAAGAGTAGGGAAGGACATAACTGACCGTTCTAACTAAAACAGGAGAATACAATCATGCAGAAAAATCCAATCACACTCAGAAATAGGGACATATGTGTAACTTGTTGCCCAGTTTAAGTTACATGCATATGCCACCTTCCTCATCTGTGAGTATAATACTTTGAGACTCCCGTGTCCTTGCCAGTTAGAATTTAAAATTTAGCTGGAATTACTGGTTGTGACTACCTAATCTCCTGCAGATAAATGAGGCTCTGGCTGAAATGGAGGAGGTTGCAAGAGACACGGAACAGCAGCTCCTCGTGGCTGGCCTGATGCTGGCAAACACTGCGGCATTTGACGGCACTGTGAATGGAGTCACTGTCAACGAATTGGTCCAGGTGATTGCTCACTACAACAGCACCGTTGCTGCTCTGGTGGCCACCGCCCAGCACCTACTGACAGAGCTTGGGGAGGATCAGTCAGAGGCTACTAGCACCTGGACCGATATATCAGCACTTGAAACAACTATCCAAGAGTTATTGGGCAACTCGACCCTTGCACAGGGTCACCTTGACCTAGTAGAATCAGACCTGGATGACCTAGATCAACAGAGAGCAAACCTTCGAATGAACTTGACCCACCTCTCAGAGTTGGCCATGGATCTAACGACACAGCTAACACGGCTCAACAGTTCAGTGGCCAATGCCTCTAGGGAGTCTGTTGATGTCAAGGCCAGTGCCGAGGAGTTGAGGGTCCAGCTGGTGGCACTGAGGTCCCACACCGACTTAGTCCTGGAACTAGCAAGACAACTGAATGTCTCCATTGAGGCAACATGGGAGGCAACACAGTTCCTAGTAGAAAACTACACCACCACTCTGGTATGTGTTCACTATGTTATTGCCTCAATCGTAGAATGTGCACTATGCACTCACTGAAAAATCAAAGCAGAAAGTTAAAGTGGTTGTATAATTAACGTCCTGTAGGGTCTGCTGGAAGCTACTTCGCAGGCTGCCCAAGCTGTCTCAGGTGATGTAGAGAACGGGATTCTTCGTGTGAAAGAACTGACCATGCAGTTGGAACTGATCAAGACAGCGGCAATGAGCATATTCGACAGGGTTCTCCCCTCCCTGGACCACGTGCAGGAGCTGGCGAGGAACATTAATGCCAGCATCTTGCCAGAGAGTCAGGTGGCAGGGATTGTTGCCAAACGCCACAGCCAGTCACACAGTCGCACTGCAAGCCCTGGAAAGTGCTTATAATGCAAGGTCAGTGAGCTCCATCTCTCAATAAAGTAATACTTCAACGTTTCTCTCATGGGTTCAGTGAGAATGTGAGGGCAACGCAGTCCCTGATTAACCAGCTGAGCTCTGACCTCAATTCCACGGAGGACACCCAGGAGAGAGTTCAGGAAGCCGTCTCACAGCTGAGGCACACCATCAACAGCTTGACACTTCAACTGGCACAGGTAGAGCCAATACAATCAAACTCCCATTTAGCTATGTATAGCTTATGATGTGATGCTCTGCCATCACGAGTATGGAGATAGCTCAAGGGTCTAGGAGTTCTAGCATTACCAGCAAACTTGTGGAGCGATAAGTGGCTGATAAGGATTGTTTTCACAACTGAAGAAATTTTTAATAGTCTTGCAGGCCAGACCGTCTCTCCCTGCTTATTTTGCTCTTATGAGGGGATCTCCACGGGCGAAGCAGAGGATTTTGTTGGCAAATTTGCTGAGGAGATGGCCAATTTGGCCTGCATGACTACTATTGACAACCAATGACTAATAATACACAAAGCTAAAAGATGATCAGTGCTATGAAAGCTATCCATATAGCTAACCACCTACACACTTACATTACACCCCCAGATAATCAATGCTGTTGTTTGTGCAGGTGAGAGAAGGTGCTGCAGAAGTGAACGGCACGTCCAGCCAAGTCCGGGAGGTGGCGGAGGAGACAGACAGAGTTGTGGAGACTGCCACAGAATTGGCTCTAGAACTCCAGAACAGAAGTAGCGAGTTCATGTACCAGGCCAGCGTGAACAATCACAGATCATCAGCAAATTAAGAAGTAAAACTGTGATCTAGCAATGTGTGTGTAGTATAAATGGTGTTCTGTTTTTAGGCTGCAGATCAGCTTCTTATTGAAGTTGCAAGTCTCCAAGCTGTGGCTGAGGCCCAGCACTACGAGTCACTGCAGATCCTACAGAATGCCACCGATGCTCTATCAACCGCCCAACAGCTCTCTAATACCACCAATCAAGTGACCATACAACAACTTCAAGGTCAGCCTTTCACTGCACTAAACAATCGGCTCAGCTTTCAAAGTAACTAAAGCGACGTACCATTGTTCAAAGGAGAGCATATCATTTTATTATGAGTATGATGTGGGATTTTTCTACAGAGCTACTGTCAGAGTATGCCAGTGAGAGGAGTACTGTTAGTGACCTGAGAGACGGAGTCAGAGTCCTCAGAGCGGAGCTCCAGAATCTCACCCTCACCTTCACCCAGGCAGCACAGACACTCAGTGAATGCTACAAGACGCCCTAGCCCATTTTCCACTAGCATAGTCCTTTTTTTATCCCTCTGTCCACCACACATAATATAATTATAACATGAACAGCCCACCAGCAATCCATCTTCACTTTCTTACACCACCAACACCACTATTGCATATTGCGCATGCGTAGTGGGCGGAGGCGTTTTGCTGACTCGTAAAGATCTGCGGCGAGGTAAGTAGCTGGCAAGAGCGAGCCCTCGAGCATGCAGGCGGTAGTGATCGGTGCCACAGGTGCATGTGGAAAGTATCTCGTGTCCAGCCTTCTCCAATCCAAGGTAAAACTGTGAGAATCTCATCTCTGTCCAGCTAGCTACTATACAGCTACATCTACACTCTAGGACGATGTGGCTAAGGTGACGCTGCTGTCTCGACGGAGGCTGGAGGAGGTGGCTGGAGTGGACGTGGCGGCCGAGGAGAGCGCGGGGAGACTGTACCAGCACGTCGAGGACTTGGACTCCGTGTCAGACGACACTGTTCGTCAGCTCTGCGGCGGAGCCCACGTCTTCTTCAACGCTCTCGGCACTACCAGACGTGCCGCCGGCTCCGCGGTAGGACACTTTTTCGGTTGATAGACTGAATCAGGGCACAGCTAGTCATAATCAGGGTCGTGTCTCTGTCTACTGGATTTGCAGGCAGCCTTTAGGCATATAGACCTAGAGATTCCAGAGCGGTTCTCTCGGCTTGCACAAGAAGCTGGCGTCAAGCACTGCAGTGTTGTCACCTCAACTGGATCCAATCCCAACAGCTGGTTTCTCTACCTCAGGACAAAGGGAGAGGTAAAACACGAGTGCTGATGGTTTGTACTGGCTGTATATATACTCTTTTGTCCTCAGTTGGAGAGTGCTGTGAGAGGAATGGGTTTCTCACGTGTGTCTTTGTTCCGACCTGGGGGCCTAAATCGTGGAGATTCAATGAGAACTGTCGAGAAAATTGCCGGTTAGTGGACACACTCCCAACACCGTATCAGTGAACCTCCGAATACAGTGGAACCTGAGATAAGGGACCCGTGAGATAGGGACGCCTTCTCTACAAGGCACAATATCGTTGGTCCCCATAGTGTCCCTTGTTCGGAGGTTCCAGTGTAATGGAGACGTTGGGACTAAGCAGTTTTTCTTTTTAGGTTGTTCTATCCTCGGATGCTCAAAATGTACTAGAATCATAGGTGACTGTTTGGGACCTCATTGGCTCAAAGTGTGTGGCTTTATTGAGAGGTTTTGTTCTGTATCAGAGGTTCTACTGTAATGGGAAACTTGGAGAGAACTCTCACTATTCAGTTGCAAGCAATACAGAATGACCCCTCCCTCCCTCCCTCCCTCACACAGCACTGGTCATCCCAACTCTGTCAGTGGAGCTGGTGGGTCAGGCCCTGGCACAGGACGCCATAAACTACCACACCTCCACCGGTGACCAGCAGCAAAACGACAGAGAGATGATTGCCAACAACAGCGCAATTCGCCGCCTCGCTCAGCAATTCCAGCAAAAGGTTTTCCATTAGCATACTAGATAGAGAAAAGAAAGAATGCTACCGCCATATGGCAGCAAAAGGAAACTCGCCACAAGGTGTATGGCCATCACTTACGTAAATTCATTAGGAGTGCAGGTGTGGTGAAAACTTACTCTCTCACCCACAGGTGTCTCCTCCTCCTGCTGCTACCACTACCACTGAACCTCCACCTCAACAACCAGCTCCAGAGGTTGAAAAAGACTAAGAACAATTATTTTGACCACTCATGGAATTTTTTGAACTCCCCATTACTCGGTATCAGTGAAGCAAACCTACATAGCTACGTGGTTGTCTGAATGATTTTCTATATTAATTTTATCCTGGTAGCTGGTGGACACGGTCACACATTTTAAGATAATGTTCTTAAACCAACCGAAACGTTTTTCATTACGTTGAGTGCTGTCTCTTTGTTAAATTAATTAGAGATGTTATTGGTAATAGTGTACGTATGTAGTACACAGTGGCCACTACCAGTGTTCACTGTAGATGGCAAGGAAGTAGCTGCCAGGTTGCTGGAGGAGGGAAGAGGGAGGCCCAAACTCCCTCACCCTGCCCTGCTCCATCACCAGGACCTGGTCACACTGCAGCACAGTCTTGATCCTGTATATAGGCACATAACCACCATCTCAATACATACATCCCCACCACCACTATCTCTGATTGGTACGGAAGCCCATTGGGGCCTACATAGGTTCATCCAGCACGTGTCACCCTATTTTTCCACAGGCACCCTTAAGGATGCATTCTTCAGCTAATTAATTATTATTATAGTCAAGGTATTCAGGATGGTTGGTTGGCCTGTCTTTACTCAAAAGCTTGCCACTTCTGAGAATTGCACCGAAGGATGCCTTGGTCTTCCCACGCTTGCTAATATTTAATGCAAACCTAATCCTGAGGATATTTGCACTGCACTTTCCAGCTAGAGTCAGGATATTAAGTATGGTTGGTTGGCCTGTCCTTCCCCCCACTTGATAGCTAAAAGTACGAAAACTACACGACGCCCAGTCACTCCTGAAGACAGCTTAGTCAAGGTATTCAGGATGGTTGACGCCTGTTAACACATACACTTGAGAGCTAAAGGTACGTAACAAAAACATTAGGTTTTGGCACAGTCACTCTTATTCAGGTGATATAATATGCGCTAAAATTTCCATTTTTGAATGCATAATGCTGAGGTAACAGTTCCATAAGTGCTATAAGTGCTACCATTCCCAAGGTTTAGCTACCTTTACCTGTGTGCAATGGTAAGAACAGTGCTCTCTCTGAACTCTTGGGAAATTGTGCTCTGGATATGAGCATCGGTCTGGAGATCAACGTTTGCCGTTGCCTCGTCAATACAGATGACCTTTGACCTCCGCAGCAGAGCACGCGCTAGACACACCAGCTGCCTCTGACCCACGGAGAACAAACGCCCTCTCTCTTCCACCTCCAATTGGAGCCCACCTGCACCCACAACCACGTCGAAACTGAAGAGAGAGGGTGTGTGTGTCTAAAACTCACCCATGTTGGAGACAGTGGAACGGAGGTGGCAGCGATCCAACACTGACCACAGCTCATGGTCTGAGTACTACACAACAAGAGCAAACACAGCATTCAATCCTAGAGTGTAGCTAACAATTTTAGCCCAAAAAACTGCGGGGGAACAACTTTCATGCATGTTTATGCACGAGTTCCGGTTTTTTTTACAGGCGGAGAATTAAACAAGAAACAAAAAATGGTTTGCACCTTGGAAGATCTTTACACTACGCACTTTGCGGTTACTTTGCCAGTGAAGTTTAATGGACAGGGGGTGTCAGGAGATGATTGATACCTGATTACAGGGGTCGAGGTTCTCTCTGATAGTACCGCTGAAGAGGAAGGGGTCCTGGGGAATGACAGCCATCACTGACCTGAGAGAGGCAGACCACACCAGAAGGAAAGTGAAAAGTGGTAGGTGTAAAAGTACACGATGTGAATCTCAATGACTATAACTACAACATTACAAGTTTGGTATAGTGAACATGCTGGCAAGGTCTATACCCATTGGCTAATATCTGGTGCAGGAATACTGGCCGGAAACGAATGTCCGCCAGTTCACCTGCTAGACGAGAGTATGGTAAAAAGGAGGTGAACATGCATAATTCTCCACACGCAGAGAAAATTCCATGCGATGCACAGTGTTAAAGGTTCAAGATCAATGCCTAATTTACTCGGTCCTGATCACGCTGTGCATGGCGCAGCCATCACATGCTACGTACACGCAGACACCTATGCATCACTGAAGTGTTAGCAAAACCAGTGACCAGATTACTGCTACTGCAAAGAGGCAAGTAGCAATACTCACCTGAGTCTCTCCAGAGGCAGGGAGGCTGTGTCAACTCCATCTACGGTGATGGAGCCACTGCTGATGTCCACCATCCTGAATAGGGCCTGGAGGAGACTTGACTTGCCTGCCCCAGTCCGACCCACCACTCCTATCTAATACAACACACAGCAGGTAGTGAGAGAGAGAGAGAGAGAGAGAGAGAGAGAGAGACAAGCATATACTATATACAGTCGAACCTCGTTAATATGAACTCCAGGGGACGTTAAAAAAATTTTCATATTAAAAGGAATTTCACTATAATAGTAGCTAGTTGTATTAGTGTTATAATGCCTGGGGATTTCAAAGTGGTTCGTATTAAGCAGGTATTTCGCTTTAACAGTGTTCGTATTAACGAGGTTCCACTGTAGTCTGAAACTCTTGAGGCATACAACTTTTGTGGAATTCGCCGTTTCTCTGTGGGCAGAAACATTTACGTAAGTATTGCAGGATGAAAAAATTATTTTCTGTGAAATTCCTTTTTGCTTGTGGAGGTTTACTCCTCTGAAAATGTCCTACTATACGGTATAATTATACACACAAACCTTTTCTCCTGGTTTTGCGACAAATGAAACATGGTCCAAAGCTAGAGGATGGTCTGACCTGTATGTCAGGGTATTACATTAACATACACAACATGGACTACTGTGGTAGCTAGTATCACCTGTAGCTGAGAGTCACATTGTGGAACTCAACTCTTCCAGCAGATGGCCAGCCAGGAGGAGGCTGTGGAGAGGAAAGACAACAGCGTTTTTTGGCCGCAGGTGAGTTAATGGTAGGACAAAACAATCAGCTCTGATACTTTGACTATAGTTGGTGGGTGGAATAGCAATACCATCTCACCATTATTTCATTGTCCCTTCACCTCTTCTCTCGTCTTCCCACTAATTTTTACAGGCACGTTACCAAACGGCCCTGACTAATATACCTGAGTAGTTCCAGAGTCTTTCTCTGCTGGAGCTCCACTGATGTACTGCATGGCCCTCTCCACACTCACCATCTGTTTCTCAGTCTCTGTGAACGACGTGACAGCCCCTGACAGGAGCCCAGTCACCGACAGAGCATAGGAGATGGCCAGACCCACCAGACCTACGTACACACAGTGTCACCACACAGTGTGTCAATCACCCTCCGTACACTTATAAATCTAGCCACAGATTTACATTAACTGTAAAATCAACTATGAGGCACCTTGAGACAGCTCTTACACATTACGAGGCTTAATTTCAACTAATTCTTGTGTATTTTGTTGTAAGTACAAGTCTCAGGCTACACTAAACTTTAACTCCATCTGATTTGGAAAAGGGAAGCATTGCGTTTGGTCACATTAAGGCCCGGAAGGAACTTGTAAGAGAAGCGGTAGCCAAAGTACCCAAGATGCACGGTACAGACAGGGAGTATAGGAGGAGGAGTAGAGAGTACCAGGGTCTACGGAGCTGAAGTGATGTTCCAATACAGCAAGGAAGGAGACACCAGCCACCATGGCCACTCCTAGTAGTTGCAGGTATAGCCCCAGCCACTGAGCCACCGCATAACCTAGACACACACACACACCAAGTAGCCATCTCACGCCGTGTAAACGTTTTCATTAAAAATTATGAGCGGCAAAGAAATTGGGGGTCCTTGAGGTCATATTCATAATTGCACCAGAGATTGAGGGTTAGTTCATGGGTTTTTTTATCACAAGAAGGGCACGAGTTCAGTGATTAAAACTTAGTTAAACTATTACGTCCCCGACTGATTTGGCGTTTAATCCCTTGCCCCCACACAGAGTGTTGTCTTACTGCCGTAGTTGGCTCTCTGGTTCACGTCCAGTCTGTCCTGGTTCTCCTGGATGAACCTCACGGTGGCCCGGAGAGCCCGAATGGTCCACAGGCCAGCCAGCGTCTCTGAGAAGTGGGCATACACCGGAGACAGCGTGACTGAAGACAACCTCTTCAGCTCCCTATAGAGGTGGAAGGGAACCACACTTTGTGTATAGTCTCAGGGTACACTGTTTGGGCTCAGTGTTACTTTTAATACTTTTTGGTGATATTCTCAGTAATTATACGTAATACTTTCCACTACCTGCATTTATTCATAGCACTATCTGAATATTTCATATTGCTCACTAAACTTTACATTCTCCACTCCACACAACTCAATATCTCATGTAACTAAACAGCTCACGCCTTCACATGGAGAAAACGATAATTAGGAACAGAGGAGGAGGGTTTTTAAGAGATTCATCATGACCGTAGAGCTAACACTTGGTGTACCCCAGTCAATAAATGATGCCAGCGTTCAACTACTCCGTACCTAGATGTTCTTCTGTAGAATCTCTGAATGTAGTAGTAGAGGACAGCCAGTGGTAGCAGTAGGAGAGAGAACCAGGGCAGACCATAGCAGGTGACTGCTAGAGTACCCAGCAGACCATAGACCTGGGCCAGGAGGATGTTCATGATGAATGGGAGACTGTCGTCTATGGAATACTGCAGTTTCACGGAGAGTGAAAGAGAGAAACACAAAAATCAGTTAGAAAATCGGTGAGATACAAAACTTGAGGGCTTACAATATCAGAAGAGAAGCGATTCACAATTCGTCCTATCTGCGAAATGGAGACAGCAGGTGAAAGAGCATCTTCATAAACATTACTAGTTATGACAGAGTGGCATGACAAGCAAAAGCAGGGCCAACGCCAGCTATGGAACAGTCACCAAAAACTATTTCCCTAGCGTGTGGCTTACAGGAGTGACGTCAAAGAAGGCGGTGGGTGCTCTGAGAATAGAGTGAAAGAGCTTCTTGTGCAGGACTTTAGCAGCACACACACCTCCATAGGCATAGAGAAAGGCTCGGAACAGCGTGAACACCTGTGCAGGAACACAACACCAAGCGCAGACAACAAACTTCATCTTGCCCAGCATACTTCAGTACCCAATGTCAGCATGCTTTATAGGCTTAAAAGGGATGTATTTGGGAGAGCTAATACTAAGTTACATACACATTCCTTGGAAAATGTTCTACTAAAGAGAGTGTTAGACAGAAAACTGACTGAGTTAGCTGCAGCAAGGCCTCCGTATATTCCCAGGTAGAATATCAAACTATCCGCCGCTTCCCTCAGGACGGTAGCATTACCATCACCACTGGCCGAGCCGTCATCCAGCAAAGTGCCGAGTGTGGCTGGTGAAAGAAGGAGAGATGAGGAGAGGGTCAAGTTGCTCCCAGGGTGGCGGTGAGTGTGGGAGATCCAGTAGGCCAGCCACCAGTCACTCACGTTCTTTGAGGCTGCGAGAAAAAGAGCCCACGCTCAGAAAAGAAACAGCATCAAACAGAAACAATTATGGCTAAGTTCACAATGTCGCCAGTCCGCCGTGCAGCGTTGGCGCATCGCGAGGATAGAATCCTTTGTGACATGACGCGACGCAGTACTTCCCAACAGGGCACTGTGACACACAATTGTGAATCTAACCTTAGGGTTCAAGTCCTAAGTCCGTGCAACTTTAAAGCTGTTGAAAACGGGAACACAATTTGGTAAGTCTCTGGAAACAGCTAAGGACAAATCCAGGGGTGAAGTATAGCTAAGTGCTTAGTTCACGCTTTCTCCCAGTCACGGGGTTCGACTTCCATAGGCGAACTGTTTCCTTCTTCGGACCAATACATTATCTACCCGTGCCAGCACTTATGCATATATTACTCACATTCTTCAACTAAGGCGTACCATCATCAGAGCTCAAAGCCTACCTTGCATAAGGAAGAGAGCTATGAAGATGGCTGGAGCAAGCAGAGAGCCGACAGCAGCCCAATAGGTGAGGTAGACACTCAGAGCAACCACTCCAACCTCCTTCTCTTCCTCCTGCACCAGAGCGGTCTCCTTGCTGCCCCCAGCAGTACCACTACCACTGTCTTCACACACAGGACCCCCTCCAGCCTCAGGTGCACACACATCTAGTGTAGCCTCCAGAGGCTTTTTATCCTCACCCTCCTCCTCTTCCTCCTCCCCACTCCCACCACCACCAAGTTTCTCAGCTCCTGGAGCCATTTCCTGCTGTTGTGTCTCAAGCCAGGGTAAGACAGTGCCGGGAGGTCCGGAGTGGACCTGGTCCACCCTCCCTCCCTCCATCACCACCACCCAGTCTGCATCACGCAGAAACCTGACACACAAACACACACACCACACGTTCAATGACTTGTACACATCCTAACACTTATCACGTGTGCACACACAATTCAGGTGAAGTCGCATAGTGTGATTCTAATGCTTTCTCTTCAAGTATAATACACTACCATGCTGCTACAGCAGCATAAATGGGCTCTTATCACATGTGAACAAGTATATACTCGAGCAGGAATGCTAATAAGTAATATGAGAGTTGTAAGCGATGGCACAGATAACTTTCTTAATCGGATTAAATATATTACAAGCATAATTGCAGGGAATATTTACAAGTTCTCTCATTGTTTAAAAAGTGATAAGGTGATATTAAATCGCAGAGCGATGAAAAAAAATTTCAAAAATCATTCAGACATCCTTGCTTAACAAAGGTTGTTCTTCATTCCTTTTCCAACATCTAGACAAGCATATTCGGACTGAGGACAAGCATATTCGGACTGAGGTGCAAAAATAAAAAATAAAAATATGACGAATACCAATAATATTCCAATATAACACATATTATTTGCTCTCTCTGTTATATTGGATGCAGAAAAACCTTCACTTCCTACCGTTACAAAGACAATGGATGTGAGAACCAAAAAAACATTGTCATTAACAGAATAAAGATACTTCCTATATGGTTGAACCAATGCAATAAGGGAAGTGAATGATATAAGAAACACAGTTGTGTAGTTGAAGCTTAAGATCACATATGCCAACACAGTAAAGGCATAAAGTATACCTCTTAGGAGGAGGTAAAGTGCTGAGAAATAGCGAAAGTCACGAGTGCCGTTTGTACCATTCTTGTAGTGTCCCTGGAAGGAGTCCATGAAGATGTGTAGGGACTGGCAGCTGAGCCCCTGTGCGGTTGAGACAGACCTGGAAACAGGAGCAGGGGTAGAGGAACAGGAGGGCCATTGGGAGCAGTGTGAAGGTGAGGAGAAAGAAGAGGGCCAGACAGGCATAGGGCAGGTGGTGGCTGCTGAAGTAAGCCACGTCTCCCTGGTTGAAGAGGTAGAGCCGGTCATTCCGGCCACTCACTGCTACAGGCAAAAGCAGATCCATAGATACACTGAGAATCTTGACGTAGGAGAGAAGAAAAAAAGTTGCAAAGGCATCAACTAGTGAGTTCCTGATGTTCCACTGTCTGCGAAACCTGATTAACAAGGACACAAAGGGTTTGTAGAGGCAGACAACAATGCGAACATTTTTATCATAGAGCATGACTAGGAGGTAAGAGAGGCCAATGAGTATGAGAGGGTAGACAGCCACAAGGTAGTCTAGAGCCATGACTTGGAGAGTGTCTGCGTGGGGATGAAGGCAGAACGGAGAGTAGACTAAACGGAAGAAATCCAAGTTCCAGATTCCAAAGAATGATACCAAGGCCTGAAGCAGATGTTTTTGCATAGGAGGGTATGATGGCACTTCAATCTCTAAAGACCTCATAAATAAAGGACATGTGACTATCTGGGAGAAAAGTATGAATCCATGAAGCTTTGGAGAAAAGGCACTTATTCTGAAAGTGATGACAAAGACAAAGAAGGCAGTTAGTGGGAGAAAGGAGACTGCAGTGTACTTGCCCCAGTTGCTAGTGGTACAGTTGACACAAGAGAGGGAGTAGGAATAGGCTGGTGGAGCATAGCCTGGCTTACACTCACCACACATCTGACTGCGTCGTTTCTGTGCCCCACACACAACATCATTAATGAGACTGTTAGAGCGAACTGTGATGTTAAAGAAATACCCTACTACCACCTGCTCTATGGCAAGTATACACACACGGTCCAGTAGCAAGTTCATTGTGCCAGTAGGTCAAGCAGTAGCACTCCAGTAACAATAGCTCATAGGGATAATTCCTACACCGCACTACGGAATAAAGTGTCTCGAGTTTTGCATAAACAAGCTCCAGTAGAATTGTCTCTGAGCTGCCAAGGAGGACAAGAATCATCTCCAGCTTGCGGCGAGGTGGATAAAACATTACTGGATTTGACAGTCAAAGTTAGCAAAAAACAGATAATAACGGATTCAAACACTCTCATTATGAAGAATACGGCAAAGTATAACTGAGAAACTGTAGGTGAACTTTTCCAGTTTATATCACTTTCACATTACTGTGCATCAGATGCTTAAGCAAACTGAAATCCACTCATCCTTTTCATCAAGTGGTTCTGTCAACATTTGGGACAGAAAATCCTTACATTGTTTACTGTAAACAAGTGGAGTAGAGTGAGTCATAGTCAATTTTCTGTTTCATCAACCTTCATGCACTATGGAGTATCATCCAATCCTGTCAGGAAAACAAAACTACGGTACTACCCTCCATAACATAATCCTATGCCAAAACAAATCGTAGTCGCCCATATAGTACACACGACTTCTTGTATCTTAGTGCAGCTGACGTCAATGGACTTGCTCAAGGGTGCCTCAGGAGACCTGTGCACATCTTTGGCTTCCATCTGCAAAAGAGATCCACTTACAATACGTGAACCACACTTGCGTCACACCACTGCTTGCCTGTCGACTCATTGTCCAGGACAAAAACCTTGGTATTGGCCCCATCCGAATGGGTGACACTGCTTGACGAATCTAAAGCCACAAGTGGAAAAATCATTTCTGTGAAATGAAAGGGGATGTAGGGACGTCGCATCAGATGCCTACAGCCATACTACCCATATTTGACGCTGACACATACTTCTGTCTGTCAGTAGTTGTGTGGGGGAGAGATTGAGATAGGAGTTGATGCCACAAGGTGAGTCTTTGACTCTTATAACTGTGAGGTGGTCATGGCCTCTAAGGTATTAAATGACTTCAATTGCAAAATCGCTTCACATTACATCGGGCCCCTCTTTCTTGGTGTAGCCAAGAGTTCAACAACGAGTAGCTGCATGAGATTGGTGGGCAATGGTCATCCTATGCCATTTTCAGCGAGATTGCAACAGTTGCAATCATCTTGTATTACCAATTGATTAATTGATGTTTTCGCACCAATGTTACCCCAGTCATTAATAGACGTCTTCTATTGGTGAGCTAATGCAATATGGAACATGGTAGTGTAGGCATAACATATATGCCACCACAGTGCAAGCATACCTTTGAGAAGGCGGTAAAGTGCTTACATTTGAGAAGCTTAAACAAACTGAAATGTACTCTTCCCTTAATAAGCAACCCTTGGAGAAAATTCTTGGCTGTTTACTGTTCACAAAGATGGAACTCCATTCAAAGCTCCTAGTCCCGGGCCAAAAGCATAAAGTAGGGTTATTCCCTCTATTATGACATCAATCTAGAGGAGAGGAGTGGAACCTGTACCTGTGAAAACTCCCTCAGTCGTGCAATCAACTGCTCGCCACTACAGCTTTGTTGTTTAAAGCTGAAAATTATCCATGCACATAAGTTAAATGCAATGCAGGACATTGCAGAAAGATTACAAAAGCAAGCCAAAAGCTCTTGTAGTAACATTCAAGTGTGGCAGTAGCAGAAGAGTTTGTCAGAGCCACACTAACTGTTCTAGTTGAGTTGCTTGTAGAACCAAGCTCCTGAGAATGATCTAGAAAATTGCGATGGGAGGTTCGGGGTGTGGCAAATTCTTAACATACTAGGTGTACAAAGAAACTTTATACCGAAACGATTTGCAGTTTGCACAGCAGAGATCTATCTGCTGAGCGAAAGCTTGAGTTACAAGCACTCTGGATATTATGTTAACTATAGATTTTACCTACCACACACTACAGTATGTTCAAGTTGAGAATGCACTTTACCACACATTGAAAAGGAGGTTAATGTCACACAAAAACTATGCGTTAGATTTGTACGAAACTAAGACTGAAGGAACGGGATCTTTAAGAGATACAAAATGGTATATACCAAGCTTTGGGCAATAGAGTAGAGAGTAATGAAGTTATTCAACATAAACATGAATGGATTATGGTAGGCTATACAGAGCATGGTGAACCTGTGGTGGTGGGTGCAGAGGATGCGAGTCTTGTGTCCCATGAGTCCCATTATACAGTGAGTGTAGAGATGTCTAGCCACGTAAGCATCCACTGCAGCCAGAGGATCATCCAACAGGTACACTGACTTGTCCTACACAACAATCAAATCTCCTCATACACACCATTTTGCTCATAACCAGGGTCTACATACAGGGCACAGTTTTGATCTAAATTTGACAGTCTAATGCACGTAAGAGTTAATTGCACACGGCCAAGACAGGATGTCCTGATTTGCAGCAGTGCCCAGTGTACATGTGGTTGGCCAGTTTTCTGATGCTTATTGTTGTCATGTTAGTTTGACAGTAGAGCACTGACAAGAGTGATTTTTGTTTCTAAAAAGGCTAATGACACACTGGTGTTAACAGTGTCTTGTTAACTGATTGCGAGCGTACACACTTGCATATAAAAGCTACACCTTGTGGTCCCTAGTTCGATTCCTGGAATCGTCCATTTTTCCCAACTGCTTTTTTGCCTCATTTATTGATGGTTTTTTCATAAGCACTCAGCACGCAATGGTGTGCATCCATGAATACCTGGTGTTAGATTGGTGCCTTACTGTAGGTATAGTGTACCTGGTAGACAGCCCTGGCAAGAGAGAGACGGGTCTTCTGCCCCCCACTGAGGGTCACTCCATTCTCCCCCACCTCTGTTTCATCCCCTGCCGGCAGAATTCTCAAGTCCTAACACAAAAAAAACACAATGTGAATGTAAAAAAGTCAAGTATAACATTTAAAAACACCAGGAGCTTACCAAATGAAGTGCAAACCCTCGGCGCACTGTGACGCGCATGCGCTGTATGACTAATTGATGGACTGGGTTTAGTTCTGGCCATCTCGCGCAGAGTCTGACGCGGGCTAACTATACACTACTAGACAGCATGCGAGAGGCGATACACGCCCTGCGTTGCATCTTCTGGTGCCTCCGAGGTCGCAGAGCACGCGGATCGATCAGACCGCGGTAAGCCATCCCGTCCGTTGCGTATTTGCATATTGGCTTTTTCGTGCTCTAGCTTTGCAACGGAGCATTTTCAGAGAAAACCGCCTTTATTTCTGACCTTCGTTGCCCGTTGGGTAGATGGTATCGTTTCTGGGACGAACATACGTTCGAGGAGTGAGATATAGAGTAACAGACAAACAGACAGACAGACAGACCCAATGAAAAGCACTAAAGTGCAAACCCTCAGCGAAGTAGCTCGCAGAGAGTCTGACAAGGGGTAGCTACAGTAGTAGATAGCACGTGAGAGTCGATACACGCCATTCGTTGTGACTTCTTGTGCCTTCAAGATAGACAGAGCAAGCGGACCCCGTCGAGGTAAGCCTGTGCTAAATATAAGCGCATGCGCATTTTCCGCCAGCGATAAAATGGCATTAGCCATACAATGCTGGAAGCGCTCTAGCTCTGCAACGGAGCATTTTCAGAGAAAACCCCACATATTTTCTGACCTTCGTCGCCCGTTGGGTACATGGTATAGTTTCTGGGACGAACAGACATTCGAGAGGTGAGATGTAGAGTAACAGACACACACACACACACAGACAAACCCAATGAAAAGCACTAAAGTGCAAACCCTCGGCGAACTGCATATGCGCGGTACCGCTAATTGATGGGCTGGGCTATTAGTGTGCGTTTACTCGCGGTCTCCCGCTAGTAGCTCGCAGAGAGTCTGACACGGGCTAGCTACAGCAATAGATAGCATGCGAGAGTCGATACACGCCATTCGTTGTGCCTTATTGTGCCTTCAAGATACACAGAGCAAGCGGACCCGGTCGAGGTAAGCCTGTGCTGAATATAAGCGCATGAGCATTTTCCGGAGCGATAAAATGGCGTCTACCGGCATTAGCCGTACAATGCCGGATGCGCTCTAGCTTTGCAACGGAGCATTTTCAGAGATTTTCTGACCTTCGTCGCCCGTTGGGTAGGTCGTATCCTTTGTGAGACGAACAAACACCCGAGAAGTGAGATTGAGAGTAACAGACAGACACACAGGACAACTCCAGTACCCTCGCTGCGCATGCGCGCCGAGGGTAACTACAGTACCCTCGCTGCGCATGCGCGCCGAGGGTAACTACTGTACCCTCGCTGCGCATGCGCACCGAGGGTAATGAGTTACTTAGGCCAACTACCTGCTCGATGCTAACCTGCTGTACTATTGCCTGCGATCAGCCATTTAATATATATGGAGCGCACGTCATGTTATTTGCTTCCCTTCGCACATTTCATTCCCACAAATTTTTATCCGGTGGAATAAAACATTTAATTTCTCTGCCAGTTTCGCTTGTTGTACCCCCACGAAAGCCTATAGGTGTATGCTATGCAGCTATGAAGATGAGTGTATAGTCACAACTCCTACGAGTGAAGCAAAACAGTCACCAGTCAATGAAGCTTTATCCGAGGGGTAAAAACAGTCGAACAGGCGGGTATGGCACTCACAGTGATACTAATAATTGAAGGGGTCAGAGCCAGCCACTCTGGCTCTGACCCCTTCAATTGTGGACTAACCTCCTGCAGGGCGCAGGCATTCACCACCTGCAGGTAGAATGCGGGCTTCATCTCACGGCCAAACAGAATATTGCTCTTCACAGTTGCCTGTTGGATCCAGGCCTCCTGGGATAGCATAGAACAGTACATCACACGGTACATAGAAGGTCTACCTGTGTGCATTACCTGAGTCACCAATCCAAACCCATCAACGAGATTGTCTATGAACACCTACAGAGGATGGAAGGTACTGCTATATATACACGTACTATATAGGAGGTAAGGTTGTTTGTGTATACCTGTCCTTGTAGTCTGATCATCTCAGCAGTGATGGCTGCCAGCAGGGAGCTCTTTCCAGACCCCACCCGGCCTGTCACCCCTACCAACTTGCCCTGAGGATCACAGTCACAGAATAGCTACACACTTATGCCATGTGTGATGATGCTTTTGCTTACACGAGGAACAGTGAGGTTAACTTTAGTAAGAGTCCACGTTCTTTTGACTCTCCTCTCCTCTCCATCTTCCCCAGACTCTCTGTTTTCCCCACTCCCTCCCTCTTCTTCTTCTCCAGCACTATTCCTCCAGGAAAAGCTGGCATCATTGATACACATTGCTGCAGCAGCAGCATTACTCTTAACACTGTCGGCTCTGTGCCCACCTAAACAAGAGAAAGTTGAACACTCCTTCTCATGTGCATGCACACTGCATGAAACTCTCCCATACTAGACCATGTATGTGTAATATGATGTAATCATCAAGTTTGTATCAGTACAGTCTATGTGCAATGAAAAGCACTAAAGTGCAAACCCTCGGCGAACTGGGCATGCGCAGTATCGCTGTAGTATACTCGTGGTCTCCCGCTAGTAGCGTCTGACACGGGCTAGCTACAGTAGTAGATAGCATGTGGAAGTCGATACACGCCCTTCGTTGTGACTTATCGTGCCTTCAAGATACACAGAGCAAGCGGACCCGAGCCTGTTCAAAATATAAGCGCATGCGCATTTTCCGCAGCAATAAAAATGGCCGACTAGCATTAGCCGTACAATGGCGGAAGCGCTCTAGCTTTGCAACGAAGCATTTTCAGAGAAAACAGTTCGAAATTTCTGACCTTCATTGCCCGTTAAGTAGGTCGTATTGTTTGTGAGACGAACAGACATTCGAGAAGTGAGATTGAGAGTAACAGACAGACACACACACACACACACACAGACAAACCCAACTACAGTACCCTCGCTGCGCATGCGCGCCGAGGGTAATAATATGTATGCTATCCACAATAACCACCAACAAAAACCTGAAATGAACAGCATTTTATACAGACAGAGTTTTCTTAGGGATATAGCATCCATAGGCTAGCATGCTATGTTACTCCATACCATAGTGTCCATAGTCAAGGCAGTAGTAGCGGGCCCAGTCAATCTCCTCCAACTGCAGGAACAGCTGGACCCTCTTCACTGACACCCAGGCCTCCATCAGTCCATTGATGACCCAGGGAAAGGCATTCAGAGGACTGATCAGCACATTGAACAGAGCAACACTGGTAAACACCTGGATAGACAGTTGGGGGAGAAAGAACACAATACTTAGACTTTAACCCAAGATTTGTGTATCACTCAATTTTACACTCAGGGTCTGTAATTTTAAACTATATATTGCCTTTTTGTATAATGTAAAACATAGAGATATATTACGTAACACACCTATGCTAACAAAATATCTAGAAGTGGTGAAACTACGGGTATAATATCCACAAAAAGGAAAAAAACTGGAGAATCCGGGTATCGATCCCGGTACCTCTCGCATGCTAAGCGAGCGCTCTACCATTTGAGCTAATTCCCCTTTCACAGTCTGCTATTGTCTAGCTTGGGCGTTGGCGAGTGAATGCAAGCACAAAATCTGTTTGCAAGTAGCTACTGTATAGGTATGCTACCAATGCACTCATTAAAAAAACAGGTGAGCTCGTTAGCAATGTAATATAGAACTGCTTGGTGTAGTAGAAGTAGAACTAACTCTGGAGTCACAACGAAAGCTTTAGTGATATTATAGCTACATCGAACAGTGACAAAAGAGAAAAAAAATTACACTGGAGAATCCGGGTATCGATCCCGGTACCTCTCGCATGCTAAGCGAGCGCTCTACCATTTGAGCTAATTCCCCTACACAACCCTGAGGTCCATACGTTTCAATGGCATTGTGAAGCAAGGCCTACAATGCCCTGTACTTAGAGGAATGATAATAGATCAGCTAACTTTAGCAGCGGTGAGGTGGTTGCCAAGTGCCACGTATGTAGTGAAGGTTAGGATAGAGATAAGGACAGGAGTTGTGGCCCAGAAATACACGCAGAGAGCGTCCAGATACTTGCGACCTTTCAGACTCTTCAGCTCACGCCCTCTGGTAGTTGTAGATCAGTCAAATGCACATGTAGAGGAGACTCATAATATCAGGCATAATGCGTAGTACACACATGTACACTGACCTGAGCTCAAATATCTTGGAAGAAAAGTGTTTTTCCCAAGCATAGAACTTTATGACACGGATCCCAGTCAATACTTCACTGATGACCTGAAATTTACAGTAAGCAAATAGTTTTATGTTATAGTAATGATGGCAGCTGTAGACTTCCGTAAAAAGCTTACTGCAAATCTGCACACCACACACACACTGTGACAAACTTTGCAAGGACTTGTGAAAGGTTTTACATCAGCGTAAATTATTCATATTGTGATTCACATCTTGAAGCTGCGATCATGCACTGATATACATGCCTTGACTCTATTGTCTTTGTCGGCCATCATTCTTGTACTCAGTTGGCCAATCTTGACGGCCAGCCACCGGTTTACAGGAATCAGGAGAATACAGAACGCCACACCGGCCAGAAATGCTAGCCCTACCTGAACAACAGAGAGACAGGTTGAGCAAATGACACTAGTAATTTGGGCTATCGTTCTGCTTATATAGTACATTGAACTAGACCCTCTTTTGTATCTAGTGTCAAATCACAGAAGCGCACGTGTAGAGAGAGAAGAGAGAGAGAGAGAGGGGGGGGAGAGTACACTCAGTTGGGTGGACCTGTTGGTAAAGGAGGTATAGAGAGATGGCTATCTGGAATGGAAGACTCCAAAACTGGTGGAAACTCTGACAGAAGTTGACGATGCGGTCGGTGTCGGTACTCATGAAATTCACCACCTGCAGCACACACACGCACACAGTCACACACCAATAGATTAGGGAGCTGGCAAGTGCAGGTGTACTTTCGCGTTCAAAGAAAAATTACATGCATACGGACTGATCATAACTTCTACAGACATCTTGTTTTCTGTTTTAATCTTGTAGGGTACTATACAGCAAATAATATGATTTACATGCATACATGCACTTGGTAAATAATTTTCATGAGCTGACCTGTCCAGTTGAATATCTGGACATTGTTGACAGGCTTATTGACAGGGACTTCCTGTAAACTTCCGTGATAAGAGCTGCCCGCACCTTCAGCCCTACTTTATTCACCTGTGTCAAAAAGATGGCAGAAATATTTGCTAGAAAGCAGCAAAAATTATGCTCCTAAAAATGGAGAATCCGGGTATCGATCCCGGTACCTCTCGCATGCTAAGCGAGCGCTCTACCATTTGAGCTAATTCCCCTATCTACTTCTAAACATCAGATTCTATATACACATACCAGATACATCAGCGTAAATTTCACATTATAAAAATTATCCACGAAGGGAAATCTGTTGTAGATGTACAATGGGAAAATATGTGAAAATGGTTACTCGATGACGTTCCAGTTTTTTAAAAAAATTTTCCCATTCTCCCATGTGTCCCAATTATACCTGGTAATTGAAATGAGAGGTAAGTATAGCAGTGACCAGTGTGCTGCACATCAGTCCCAGAGCAAACAGATAGCCATAGTACATTGGCTCCTGCAAAATAGCATGTTGGTCATTCACAAACGTGTAGAAAAGAACTGACTTGTTTGTTCTCAATGAAAGACACTAGCTGGTAGAGGAGGAGAGGCCCTGCAAAACCCAGCAGGTCCGTGGTAAACTTGATCAGACCCAGTGGGTAGTAGTGCCACCCAAACGCGCGGTTGGCGGCAGAGAATAGGAACAGCAGCGATGTAGACTGCTTTGCGGTTCTCCCATCCGTCTGTGAGCCAGTTTTCCGAAACTTTGCACCATCCACGGACGGTCCAGGCCCAGTATAGTCTGTACTACTGTCAGTGCTAGTCAATGGTGGGGTAGTGGACGGTAGTGGCGTCGTTCTTGCAATGGATCTCATCGCTACCTCTGAGTCTAAAAACGACGCACCACCTGTGCTCCACCCCTCCGTCCCCTGTTGGCCACTAACACTCACGTTAACATCCACGTTTGTTGAAGCAGTCGCTACACTCCCTCTCCGTACCAGAACTTTTCTGAATTTCTCACGAATGAGGGAAGTTTGCAGAGTCTTTGGTAGTGGGGGAAGGTCAGTCGTTGATTCAAGACCCCCCACGGCACCTCGTCTCAGCAGAGGCCACACCCACAAGAAAAAGAGGAGAGACACGGGATTGGCACGGTCTTCGTACGCATTCACGTGCGAGAGCTCAGAGTCAGTGTTATCTCTAGCACTATAAAGGGCGCCATACGTTGAACCGTGTCCTCTATAAATCAATGGCTGCTCCTCTCTAACTTCCTCCTCCTCCTCTTCCTCGTCCTCTGAAGTTCTCCACTCTGTATTGACACTGCTGTCTCTTGACTCTTAGTCTCCACGCGACCGCCACTGCTACTCTCTTACTAGTTGTAGCTGGTGCAGGGAAGAGGAGGCTCATACCATAGAGAACCTGCAACCCCATGTGTATGTATATTGACACTCTTGCACTGGAGGGAGAAAGTACATGTCCGGAGGCCTCCGCGTACTGGTAGGGCGGTACTGTTTAGCGTACCAGCGAACGGTGCTACGGAAGTGGAGGATGCTAGACACGAGAGTTAGGTACCAGCTGACGTTGAGGGACAAGGGGCCCCTGCCTGTGTAGCCCAGTGAAGTGGAGAACACCCACAATGCAGCTGCATGGATCGTCCAAGATACGAAGCTCACTATCTGAGCTACTAGCACGGCGTACGGACGCTGCCTGTCCATCCAAAACGCAGCTAAGAACCCGACAAGCTATTGAGGCCATACACACGGCAATTCCCCAACTTCAACATCACACGATGCGAAGTCTGTCCGTCCCTGTCCGTCTGTATCTAGATCTGTAGCGCGCGGCATAGAAGAAGCGGAAGCTGACGGCGCCGAGAGAGAGAGCCGCAAGAAGAGGTCCACGAACGCGAGTACTGGAAGCACATTCGAAGTTCCTCCGATCAACCACTGGAACGAGGGGACTGTTGTCTGGAGAAGAGCCTGCAGCCGTGACGGGGACGTAGCAAAAGTGCTTCCACCATCCATCTCGTATACCACTCCTTTTACGCAGCACATAAAACTAGCTAGTGCTCCTAACATTATACCCAGAGCCCGTCAGTTTGTATGTGGGCTATAATAGAATGCAAGCCATAAACGTGCTGATCAGCAAACAAACGTTAACCGTCGGCGGGAAACATGAACGAAAAGTACCCCGAGCCAACTCTCAGAAAGATCATAAGGGAAAGAGGAGTGTTAACCTGTCTAGTCGTGGATCATTGCGTGAGTACACACGCGTTTAGAGCTCGTATGGTGCTATGAATGCTATAACCATGGATTGCAGGTGTTTCTGGGTCTAGTTCTGGCTCTCAATAAGCTGGCAAAGGCCGCCAGTATAAAGCCCAAGAAGACAGGGAGACTGTCATCACATCCAGAAACATTGCTTCAGTGGCCCTGTAAGTTACAGAATAGTTGAAGCAAACCAGCCTATTACATATCCCTTTCTGTGTGCATAGGATATATTGTCGAGTTTGAAGGGATAGAAGTGTACTTTCTTATCATCCGTAACACTCCAAAGCTTTTACTCCATATTGTCATCATGAATAAAACTATTTGATCGCTCATTTTGTTTGAAAATGGTGGAAACGCGTGACAGTGAAGTGAATGGTGTCTAGTCTCTAGCTTGGGCTGTATCGTCTGCACATTTCAGAGCCAGTCGACGCTCCTCTTAACTGCAGGTTCAACACAAAACATGAGTGTTTCAAATGGTGTGCGACTAAGTACATATATATCACGTATCATGCATGTAACGTAGTGAAGGAGTGAAGCCTTTTTATACAGATGGTATCGGTGCTAGCACTGCATATAAACACAGCAACATAAGTGATACTGACCTCTCTCAGCTGTCCTTCTGACCATCTCTCCAGCATCTCCTCAGCTGGTCATACACTCCTCCTCACACCACCCATGGCACTCCTGTAGTGGACACCCACATGACAGTCACATGAGAGTCATGTGACCTTACAACACAGGAGATGGACCCTTCATTATTGCGTGTTTGAAAGTTGCTCTCCATGCGAACGGGACGCAAAGCTTTGTCTGCTGTAGAAAGTGAATAAAGCCGGGGAAAGGACCAGTAATAGTTTTTGACATCTGTGCAGGTGTGGCCAATGCAAGTTGGTGCAGTGTTTTATGGTCTACTTCTGCCCAAAATAAACACTCACAGAGCATCCATCTTCTCTTCCATCGTTGGCATGTAGGAGAGTCTGCAGGGGACTCATCTCGCAGTCACACAACATGGTAGTAAACCTGTCTCTGAGTGGGCTAGCATGGTGTGCAATGAACACTGACACGCCTACTGTCTCAGGGGTATTGGCAATCAGCCATGGCCTCAGCTAGCTGGACACTGTCCCCACTCAACTGGAACTCATCTTGCTTCTTACTCCTGCATATAGCTCGCACCGGGGAGTCTATACAGATTACCACGCATACACGCAAATTCGAGCAGCGTTTTTTGGGTCGGTTAGCTATTCCCTTAAAGAGACAGGGACTCCTCGGACATTACAAAAAGAGAAGTAGATGGGAACAAAACAAAAACAAACCGACGAACAAGTATACATACGTCACACAGACGAAAACACACACACAGAACACCCACACCCACGACGCACACCACCCACCCCAGCACCCGCTGCGCAGCGTAGCAGTTTGCCAGTTTCAAATGTAGCCCATATCATGATGAGTCAGACGCTTATACGCTGGTCATAATAAGGATTTTTCAGCGTGACACCTCTTTGAAACTTTTAATCTGCGAGTCCAAGCGCTTACACGTGACGTCAAACACACAATACGTATATGAAACTCACTGCACTTATGACTGGTAATTCTCGATATGAACCTGTTTACTTACTCGAAGCCTTTCCTGAGTTTGCTTCTCCTGGCACTCGAGAGTGCTGACAGCGGCTATTCTCTCGTGGGATGGCGATAGTCAAGGCACTGGTACCGTTGCTATCAGGAGTGGAGCGGGGTCGTAGCCCAGTCTCACCCACAAATCTTCCACGGACGTTTGTGAAGTAGTAGCTCACCAATGCCAGCAGACCTGAGGAGTATAAATCGTAAGTTTGTTATACGCACCAGGCTAGCTATAATAAAGAGTATAGAGCTAGGGCTACGATCATTATGATACCAGTACCTACATAATACATACCATGGACCAACCATCATACGCACTTGAAATTGGCTTGCAAAACGTAGTTATGACATCACACCATTTCACTCATCACTGCATTCTCACAACATAGTCAGGTATTAGGACGAACTGCATGCCAGTCTTCCTATACTTGTAAAAAGTACGAAAATCTTAGGCAACCCTATTGTTACAGTCACTCCCTGGGATTATTTGCACTGCATTGTCCCCAACTTCATTACTCTTTCCCTACATAGACTGACATCATTACAAAATATGCTGCACTGAAGCTCTGATACTAATGGATCAAGTAGCTATAGTCAAAGTATTAGGATGGTTAGTTTGCCTTTACTCCCCCAGAGTTACTTGTATAAAGTACGAAAGTTTGGCCACCCTATTTTCAGCAGTCAATCCTGAGTATCGTTTTTTTTTACTGCACTCTTCACCTACTGTCATTTGTTAGCACTGTATATACTCTTCATCTACTGTCAGAATGGTTGTTTAGCCTGTCTAACTCACACTCACTTACAGAAAATTAGGTCACCCTATGTACTTCAGTTTCACTGCACTCCCCAGCTATAATCAAAGTACCAATACTGGTCAATTTGTCTGTCCTTCCCTACAGGTGCTTTCTAAAAGAACGAAACCTTCAGGCCACCTTTTGCAAGCAACAGAGTCTGTAGCTGTAGTGAGGAGTACACATTACCTTCTCACTATAACATTTGGCAGCTTGGTTCTGTACTGGATCCAACCTCTTGACCAGATCGGACGCTCCTCAAACAACTGTTTCCATGATTGTATATAACTCACCATGGCACACAGCACACCGGAAGACAGCAGTTGATTTACCTTCTTGACAGCCTCTAGTTTTGTTTGATGTAGGCTGCACCTCGGCAGATCTGATTTGACTTACCTCGGAACAGCTGGACGACAACAAACATCAAGGCATTGTTATAACCGTGAGTTTAGAAGCTTGCATGTGTCAACTACGAACAGATTCGCAAGGGGAACGAGGTGTGTAGGGTACTTGTACTCTAGTTCGGAGTTGTTCCATGCAGTTAGAATGCCTCGAACCTCCTCGAAGAAAGGCATAAAAAGAAGAGCTGTCATAGGTGGGATTTGAACCCACAACACTATGCAGTTTACGTCAGTTTAGGAGCTTGCATAAGGTTTTAATCCACTATTATAGCTCCTTTATGACGGCAAGGATTGAGAGATAGAGAATGATAGAATGTACCACACTGTACATATCGCTACTTGCTAAAGTAATGCATAGATGAAGGATACGTCCTTTGTGGTCGAATGTGAATTACCGATGGCAAAGACCTGTCTCCTCTGTCTACTGCTGCTGGGACCTGGGTCCCCGTCACCTTGGCTGTTGGAAATCTGGACGACTCCTGCAATCAGCCATAATCCATATTCACACTGCATATTGGGGCATAATCGTGCCTACTAGTTGCCGCGTGTTGCACTGTGCAGTACGTATGGGCTACTAAGGATAACAATAGGGCCCACTGCAAAATGGAGTAAGTTCCGCAGTTTCAGTAGAAAAGTTTCAATACTGCCACAGCCACTTTACGTGTATCTGCAGCATTTCACAAACCTTCAACAATCTGCCACTACTTATGCACACAGCAATGTTAGCTCACTAGCCATCTTCAATGCAGTCTAATCTAGGCTTACGCATAGTTGGGTGGCTTGCACACTTGCTGAATGCCGCATGGAGGAGAACAGGGGACGCCCCTGTCCTCAAATGCATCGGAAAATGGTTCTGAGAGAAGAAGACGGGCCTTGTCGATGTGTCACTCGCAGAGCCGACCTGTTCACGTACGTACCACTGAATCTGGAAGATACTAAGGTCTAATGCTTCAGCTTTGTATGGCACCTGGTTCAACCCTGGTGGGAGCACTTGGAAGTCAGCCATACCTGTAAGGATATCAGATGGCGCTGAATACACAGACACAAGATACTAATGTCGAGCAGAGCCATGTCGACAGTGGATATGCTGTACTTTCACAGAAAAGAGAGAAGGGCAATACCCTGGTAGAGCAACACTGGGGTGTTTGTACGGAGAACGAAGAATAGATGAGATAATAAGAGACACCTTTGAATTGGTAGGTCAGCCTGACCATGCCCAGACCTCACTGAGTGTCTGGTCCACTGCACGCTTTCCTCCTGACCCCCTACGTCACCTCCTTCCCTCCCCGCTCCCCACGTGCTCCTGCCCTCGTCTTCGTCCTCACCCTCAGTACCAGATGTTGGTAACGCAGGATCGACCACCACTTGGCTTGCAGAGACCTCTGTCCTCTGGTCTCAGTCTTCTCGCCTCCAACACTGCGTCTTCTCATAGTAAAAGAAACACCTGGAGTCCCCGATCTGAGCCGTGGCCAGTGCAGCTATAGGATACCTACCTTTCTATACTCTCATGCACCGATACTATTGATAGCTCTGTCCACATTGTCCACAAGCCCTTTAGAATGATATGATACAGAGGCTGAAGTGCCGTGCGATTAATCTTCATCATCACGTGGGTACTGATCACATCAATTTTTCTTTCTCTGCCTTCAGGCACAGAAGCCACTATTATAGACCACTGTCTCCTTCACACCCTCCGCCATCATAGACCGAGAGAAACCGAAATATAACTCGCGTAGCGGATGCACGTGTTGAGAAAGACTATATAGATGCTTACCTTTCCCACTCATCATAGGAGACTGTAATCACCAACAATGCTCTAATTCATAGAAAATGTGGAAATGATGCCACCGTCTTCTCAAGTGACTTCTCATCTCCTATACAAGAAAATCTCGCCAAGTCACACGTGATATGATCCTCTGTAGCTGTCCCGCATCCATTATCACTCGGGTGGTGTGCATGTGGGAGCCCTCAATGGCGTGCCTCCGCCATCCGATTAGCGAGGCAGGAGGTAGAGGAACTACAGAGAGCCAGGCGAGGAGATAGGACCGGGGCACCAGAGACAAGGAGATAGACTCCAATCCCTCTAAGAACATGAGAACTGGTAGTCATCTGAAACAACCTCACCCTCCCTAAAAGTAAAACCTTCTAAAAAAGCTTAAAAAAATGAAATGTTTCTTCCATTACTATAACAGAGATTAACGCGGATAGAAAAAGTTCCACAATACCTCAATCAGGTAATGTGTCCTCCTCTTTTAGCCAGCCATAAAACTACCTAGGACTGACATTTCGGACTGATAGCAGGCAATTTACTGAAGATATATCATCATTTCAACAAATCATTTAGAGGATTATTGATAAGGACAATATGCATATTCAGGCACATGTTCGAATCACACGAAATTCACATACAAAATGTATCCACTCCCTCTCTCTCTCTCAATCTCATCTACAGTATTGAATGATAGAGGTGACACTCGTGAAGTTGGGATCACCTCCCTCCCCGAAGTCCCCCCCCCAGAACCAGAGAAGGAAGGTGGCAAGACTGAGAGAAGAGAAGACTGCCAGAGCAACCCTTCCATCTCACGCCCGCCCCTCGCGGCTGTGTCCA